GAGGAGGAGGATTCTCGACTGGATGATCGTTATTGTGATTATTAGCTACATTATCGTGATCTAAGTTATCGTTATTGTGATTATTAGCGTTATCATGATCTAAGTTATTGTGATTATTAACTAAATTTTTGCGGAATTCCTGGTATGCTTGATCTAATAGGCGACGGGCTTCTCTTAAGCGTAGGCCGCGTAGCCGCCTGGCTGCACGGGAAGGGCGTGCGCGTTGTCGATCACTCACTACGATTAATTAAGTGTCATAATTTAATGTCAGGCTCTGCTTAACAAAGGGGAAGGGAAATCAAAGAGTGAAGCTCGCGTATTAAGCGAACTTCCAAATAAGGGGTATAGAGTTCATCGAAGAAATCGATGAACGTGGAAGGATAAGGATGATAGGTGAATTATGGAAACAAAATTGAGAGTGCAGAGACTGAGAGGGTTAATGTTTTGTTAGAGAGTGATCTATAGATTCGCGAGGTAAATAATTTAAAAATAGTAACTTACTGCTGTTTAGCAACTTCCTGAGGCAGACTTCGCAATGATTGGTGGTCCGTTCTTGGTGGATGTCGTGTGATGGATTGGACCCCGAAGTGGTCTCGGTTGGATGTCTCCACTCGAAACTTTTTTGCGGCGACTAGGATCACTGATCGCGCTGATTTGATTGCGATCTGGTCGCGGACCGACGATAACTTTGACTGACTTTTACTGAATTCGATTACCGGACCGGCAGAGGTTCGCTCTAAGTAAGGAGTTTTGAAAAACTGTTCTGTTCGCGAAGGCCCTCCTTTTATATTCGCTAATTAGGAGTGCCGTGTGCAAGTCTAGTGTGTGGGATTAGGTTTATCTAGGATTAGGATTAAGGGTATCGGTTGTGAAAAGGGATACTGGGATATGTGTCTTAGATGATTCTTCGTCATCGACCAGTTGCTGGATGTTCGATAGTCATAGAGCCACTCTTGTCATATATTAAGAACAACCGCTGTTTCGGTTATAATCCTTAACGACTGTGCCCAAGTGGATAAAAAAAGAGGCGAACGTTAATCGGCTCGCAGCTATCGAAACTTCCTATGACAAATACAGTTGGTCTACTGGTGTTACTTGTTGATGACCTTTATGGTGATGATGAAGGTTCGAAGAAAAGAACAGTGGAGTCTGGACGTAATAATAATAATAATAATAGTATCCTGGGAGGCAGCCCCTAATTGGGGCCCACCAACGACACGCAGACCAAGTCCATTGTGTCTTCCCAGCCGTACT